CAGCAGCTCTGGTGGATTATTGCTGATATTTAGATGTTTTTTTTTTTCTTTTTTATATAGACAGAAAGGCTGATTAATGAAAACTGGAGCAAACCTACAGCATGGGCTATTGACCGAATTAATTGAGATTTTACCATTTGCAAAAAAATAAAACATGGATTCTAAGTGCCACGGGCAATGCCTCTGCTGTACATTCATAAATCAGCATCGTAGTACGGAAAAGAGATCGTCGATGGATCTTTCTGGATAAAAGGCTATTCGTGTGAGGAGCGAGGCTTCCATACCCGTACCCCTTTGTACTATAATAGAAATATAAAAAACACAAAAACTCTCATTTATGTATACATTTTGGTTTCATCACAGCGTGGGCATTCAAATTGATACATTTTAATGTTGCTTACATTTTATTTTCAAACATGTAATTTTACTAATTTATTAATAATTACTACTTTTATCCAATAATTGTTTTTTTTTTTTTTTTTTGTGTTGTTGCTATGAAATAAGATTGCTACGTTGTGAAGAGCACATAATTATAGGCCATAAACATTTACCTTAGCGATATACAGGCTGGACCCCAGGAGTTTAATCTCTCTTTGTGTTGCCCGATTTCCCCCCATAGATTGGGAACACCTGTAAGGCTCCATCTAAGCACATTAACATAGAGTTAATTATCCTGATTAGAGAAAGTCCTTTCATGCTCAGAAAGCTGCTGCATGCTAGGGGCAGCCCTTTGAAGAGACTGCGCATATTGGCCCTTCTCTAATGTGGGCAATTTTATCTGAAGCACGGATAATTATATATAATAAAATGCTTGTCCTCTTTAAGATCTTATTATTTACAGATCTTAACGAATAGCATCTGGCTGATCATCTATCGAATGTTTGTGTCCCAACAAGCTTCAAGAGTCGAGTATGAAACCTTTCATGAATGAAATGCAGTTGGGGGAAAAGGACATTTATGTAAAATATATATAATTAAAATAAAATATAAATAAATAATATATATATATATATGAAAATTAAATATATATATATATATGTATATATATATATATATATATATATATATATATATGTTTAGAACACAAAAGTGATTGATATATATATATATATGTATATTTGGATCTTTTATTTATATATATATATATAATATTATATATATATATATATATATATATATATATATAAAATGTTTGTGTCCTAAATATATATAAATATATATATATTTTTTTTATATTATATATATATATATATATATATATATATATATATATTTAGGACACAAAAGTTATATATTTATATATATATAATATATTTAATTTTTTTTTTCAGTAATGTATTATATTTTATAATATATTTATAATATTATTTATTTATTTAATTAATTAATAATTTTAGGTTATAATTTTATCATATATATTTATAATTATTTTTATAGTATAAATTTTTATAATATATTTATATTATTATTTATATATTAATTTTTATACTTTTATATTATAGTTTTATAATACTGTATATATATATATATATATATATATATATATAGATAGATATATAAGCAGGGCCCTCCTAACCCTCTTATATTGAACTGTATCATTGCTGTATTGTCTCCCCCTATTTTGTAAAGCGCTGAGCAAACTGTTGGCGCTATATAAATCCTGTAGAATAATAATTATATAATATATATATATATATATATATATATATATATATATTTTTTTTTATAATTGTATGACTTTTATTTATGCCATTTATTCAAAGAAGGCAACCATTTTTTTTTTGAAAATCTAAATATCCAAGCAGGGGTGGTTAGGACAAAGTAAAACTGGGGTCCCCCCTGTGTACCTTTTGTAGCAATTTGTTCTGCGTGTTTTATTTTAATTCTTTTCCATCTGTATTATGTTACTTCGTTTTTTTTTTTTTAGGAGTAGTGTATTAATGTCACCACAATTTAATAATTCAATACAATGCCTATCCTTCATTTCCTAAATCTGCTTTACATAGGGATCTATTTATTAGATTCCCACAGCTTTCTTCCATTTTTCTATATGGATCCAAATGAAAAAAAAATGTGAGAATCCTTAAAGAGAGGTGTGTGGATACATTTATAGAGACCTAGACCTACCGATCTTGGGATGGCTTTAAGTAATCAGTCAAGGAAAAGAAAAATGAAATTGTATTTCATAATTTTATAATTGTAAAGAAATATTATATATTAAATGATATTATTGATTACATTACGTTGCGTATTATAATATATTATATTATTCAAGTGTTGTCCCGAAGGTAATGCAAAAGTATGCATGACATTTTTATTATATTACATAGGTCATTCAAATTTCACATGTTGGTAGAGTAGCTTTCCCTCTATAGTAACTTTTTCTTCTTTTTCAATGCAGGTAAATAATGGATTCTAAGCAGAAGTAACATTCCTTCATTAATTTCTTGATGAAGGAGGGGTGCAAGCTGTTCCACATCCACAGAAGGCTGCAAAATGTTTACAGAGATGACACCATGGACAAGAGCAATGTCTTCTCATTGGTGACTTATCAGTGGTGTGAGCTCTAAAAACATTCTGTTGACTTATGTATGTTGGACAGCCTGCACCCCTCCTTCATTGGGAAGTCAATGATGACATGTTGCTTCTGTTTGGAATCCATTATTTACCTGCAATGAAAAAGAAGAGTTACTATAGAGGAAGAGTATTATAGAGGAAGGATTACTACAGAGTAAGAGTTACTGTAGAGGAAGAATTACTTTAGAGCAGGGGTCTCCAAACTTTCTAAACAAAGGGTCAGTTTACTGTCCTGCAGATTTTAGGAGGGCCGGACTCTGGCCAGTTGGAGTAAAAAAGGTCCTAACGTCTTTACTGTCCTTCAGACTTTAGGAGGGCCGGACTCTGGCCAGTTGGAGCAAAAAAGGTCCCGACGTCAGTGGGGAAAAAAGAATGCCCTACTGTTTGGTGTCAGTAGGAGGAATTGTGCCCCATCATTGAAGCCATTGGACCCCATCATTGCTGTCATTAGGAGGAATTGTGTTCCGTTGCTGGTGTCATTAGAAGGCGTTGTGCTTCCTTCATTGGTGTAAATGGGGGGAATTATGCCCGATTGTTGGTATCAGTGGATGAAATAGTGCCCCAAGCACCGGATAAAGGCAAGCAAAGGGTCGCATCTGGCCCTCGGGCCAGTTTGGAGACCACTGCTATAGAGGAAAAATTACTACAGAGTAAGAGTTACTGTAGAGGAAGAATCACTATAGAGCAGGGGTCTCCAAACCTTCTAAACAAAGAGCCAGTTCACTGTCCTTCAGACTTTAGGAGGGCCGGACTGTGGCCAGTTGGAGTAAAAAAGGTCCCGACGTCAGTGGGAAAAAATAATGCCCTATTGTTTGGTGTCAGTAGTAGGAATTGTGCCCCTTTATTGATGCCATTGGACCCCATCACTGCTGTCATTAGGAGGAATTGTGTTCCATTGATGGTGTCATTAGAAGGCGTTGTGCTTCCTTCATTGGTGTAAATGGGGGGAATTATGCCCGATTGTTGGTATCAGTGGATGAAATAGTGCCCCAAGGGCCGGATAAAGGCAAGCAAAGGGTCGCATCTGGCCTCCGGTCCACAGTTTGGAGACCACTGCTATAAAGGAAGAATTACTACAGAGGAGGAGTTACTGCAGAGGAGGAGTTACTATAGAGCAGGGGTCTCTAAACTTTCTAAACAAAGGGCCAGTTTACTGTCCTTCAGACTTTAGGGGGGCTGGACTGTGGCCAGTTGGAGTAAAAAAGGTCCCGACATCAGTGGGAAAAAATAATGCCCTATTGTTTGGTGTCAGTAGGAAGAATTGTGCCCCATCATTGCTGTCATTGGGAGGAATTGTGCCCCATCACTGGTGTCATTAGAAGGCATTGTGCTCCCTTCATTGGTGTAAATGGGAGGAATTATGCCCGATTGTTGGTATCAGTGGATGAAATAGTGCCCCAAGCACCGGATAAAGGCAAGCAAAGGGTTGCATCTGGCCCCCGGGCCACAGTTTGGAGACCAGTGCTATAGAGGAAGAATTACTACAGAGCAGGGGTCTCCAAACTTTCTAAACAAAGGGCCAGTTCACTGTCCTTCAGATTTTAGGAGGGCTGGACTGTGGTCAGTTGGAGTAAAAAAACGGTCCCGACGTCAGTGGGAAAAAATAATGCCCTATTGTTTGGTGTCAGTAGGAGGAATTGTGCCCCATCATTGATGCCATTGGACCCATCATTGCTGCCATTGGGAGGAATTGTGCCCCATCATTGATGTCATTGGACCCCATCATTGCTGTCATTGGGAGGAATTGTGCCCCATCGTTGATGCCATTGGACCCCATCATTGCTGTCATTGGGAGGAATTGTGCCCCATCGTTGGTGTCATTAGAAGGCGTTGTGCTCCCTTCATTGGTGTAAATGGGAGGAATTATGCCCCATTGTTGGTATCAGTGGATGAAATAGTGCCCCAAGGGCCGGATAAAGGCAAGCAAAGGGTTGCATCTGACCCTCGGGCCAGTTTGGAGACCATTGCTATAGAGGAATAATTACTACAGAGTTACTATGAAAGAAGAATTACTATAGAGGTACTCTACCAGCATGTGAAATTTGAAACGGCCTATGTAAGTTATTAAAAACATTATGCCTACTGTTGCATTACTTTGGGCTCATATTATACATTTTTTTTCAAACTTGATTGGGTGTTTGACGTGAAGTCCACTGGCCTGGCCAATCCCCTGATGTGGAGTTATAATGTGAAATGATGTGATCTTCTACTGGCACCATGCATGAGTTTTATTGGAAAATAATTTTCTTTTTTGCATTGCTAATTCTTAGTGATCGTCAGCAGAAATCCATGTGTATTACTGTATGTTGGTTATTCCCATTTTACAGTTTTTTTTTAAAAAAACATTTTCAATAATGAAACATAACCGTTACCGACACAACTAAATATTTCGATGTTATGTCCCGCAGGGTTATGCAAAGCAGATGGCAGAGATGCCTCCAACCATGAAGAGTAGTACGCCACATCAAGGCCTTGCCACGTCTTATCTGTGCAACCTGGACCCCAATGGTAAGAAATCACAGATTGCTGAGCTACGTAGAGTTCATGAGCCTGGTCACTGCTGACACCTTCGGGAAATGTTGTGTTCTTGTATATGCGTGCAGGTTCACAATTTGCAAGCATAAAGCCCGCTAGACTTGTTTGATGGCCAGTAGCACATGGTATGGTAAACATGGATGGAACTCTAATCTGAGACCCATGGATTCCATACGTTTCAGGGGCTCAATGTGGTGACTTGGCAATTGACCCTACAGGATGGGAACCCCCCTCCCTTGACCCCAACCCAATTTCTCTTTGATCCTACACCCACGCTTTTTGATCCCTTATAATTCCCCTTTGTTTCTCTTACATTCTCTTTTGACCTTAAAGTGGATCTTCACCCTAAAGTGTGAGTCATGTTTGCTCTGCCTCCTCCACCCTCCTTCTCTTACAATTGGACATAAATGTGTGTTTGCTTTTTTGATATGCTGCATTTCCTCATTTCTCGAATTGCGATTTTTACCCTGCAGAGGTGCTGTAGGGCTTCAGGTCCCAAGGGAACCCCACTAGACATTCTGCACACACAGAGGTTTCCCCGGCCGTCTGCACTTGTGTGGGATTTCCCAAAGATGGCCAATTAGGGAAGACCCAAACCTGTGCCGCCTTTGCACATGTGCGGGAAATCAGCTGCACATGTGCAAATGTGCCAGAGGGCTCTGCCAGGATCCCAAGGCTGAACAGAGAGATTTGGCACATCTGTAATGGCCATAATGGTGGCGCTGGGGGTGGAGCCAGTACAGAGAGGAACTGAAGACCCTATTTAAAGCGTAACTTCACCCAAAAGGGGAAGTTCTGCTTCTTTGCATCCCCCCCTCAATTCCTCATTTGGCACTTTTTTTGGGGGGAGCAGGTTCCTGGTTTTGACAGGTACCCACTCTCATTTGCGGCAAAAGCACCACGGCAACATTCGGTCCCTCCTCCTTTCCCCCACAGCCTTCTGGAGCACATCACAGGTCCCAGAAGGGACCATTCACAAAGTGCAGAAAATGGAATAAGTAATAAATTATTTGTAATCTGTCTCATTGCAGATCACATAGAAATATGACTGGTTTTGACTCCTTTAAATAAGCAGTATTAGTTCAGTCTTCATCATTTCGGAAGATTGCACCCCTTGAATGGCCGTCTTTTTTACCTCTCCGGGTAGCAACCTGGGGGACTTTCAAGACACGTGACTTCATGTCTAGCCATCCCATACAAGAGAATTGCCAACTGACAAGTTTACCTGCTCTTCAGGCCAAGATACAAGCTAGTACAGCACCCCTGGCTGCGCAACAATGTTACATAATTCTTCACATAGTTAGTCTGGCTGAAAAAAAGACAAAAATCCATACAGTTCAACCATTAAAATAAAAAAAAAAAAAGTTATAATCCTACACCCACAGTTGATCCAGAGGAAGGCAAAAAAAAAAATCAGCAAAGCACGATTCAATTTGCTCCTGCTGGGAAAAAAAAATTCCTTCCTGATCCCCCGAGAGGCAATCGGATATTCCCTGGATCAACGTCACCTATAAATGTTATATCCAGTTATATTCTGTGTATCCAAGAAAGAATCCAGGACTTTCCTACAGCAATCCACTGAGCTGGCCACAACCAACTCTTGAGGGAGTCTATTCCACATTCTCACCGCTCTTACTGTGAAGAAACCTTTCCGTGTTTGGAGATTACATTTCTTTTCCTCCAGATGTAAAGAGCGCCCCCTTGTCCTCTGTGATGACCTCAGGGGAATAACTCCACACCGAGTTCACTATATGAACCACTGATGTATTTATACATGGAGATCATATCTCCCCTTATGTATTATACCCCCCCTTATGTATTATACATGGAGATCATATCCCCCTTATGTATTATACATGGAGATCATATCCCCCTTATGTATTATACATGGAGATCATATCCCCCCCTTATGTATTATACATGGAGATCATATCCCCCCTTATGTATTATACATGGAGATCATATCCCCCCCCCTTATGTATTATACATGGAGATCATATCCCCCCTTATGTATTATACATGGTGATCCTATCCCCCCCCCTTATGTATTATACATGGAGATCATATCCCCCCTTATGTATTATACATGGAGATCATATCCCCCCTTCTGTATTATACATGGAGATCATATCCCCCTTATGTTATTATACATGGAGATCATATCCCCCTTATGTATTATACATGGGGATCATATCCACCCTTATGTATTATACATGGAGATCATATCCCCCCTTATGTATTATACATGGAGATCATATCCCCCTTATGTATTATACATGGAGATCATATCCCCCCTTATGTATTATACATGGTGATCATATCCCCCCTTATGTATTATACATGGAGATCATATCCCCCCTTATGTATTATACATGGAGATCATATCCCCCCCTTATGTATTATACATGGAGATCATATCCCAGGCCCCCCCCTTATGTATTTATACATGGAGATCATATCCCCCTTATGTATTATACATGGTGATCATATCCCCCCTTATGTATTATACATGGTGATCATATCCCCCCCCTTATGTATTATACATGGAGATCATATCCCCCCCTTATGTATTATACATGGTGATCATATCCCCCCCCTTATGTATTATACATGGAGATCATATCCCCCCCCGATCATATCCCCCCTTATGTATTATACATGGTGATCATATCCCCCCCCTTATGTATTATACATGGAGATCATATCCCCCCTTATATATTATACATGGAGATCATATCCCCCCTTATGTATTATACATGGAGATCATATCCCCCCTTATGTATTATACATGGAGATCATATCCCCCCTTATGTATTATACATGGAGATCATATCCCCCCTTATGTATTATACATGGATGATATCATATCCCCCCCTTATGTATTATACATGGAGATCATATCCCCCCTTATGTATTATACATGGAGAACATATCCCCCCTTATGTATTATACATGGAGATCATATCCCCCCTTATGTATTATACATGGAGATCATATCCCCCCTTATGTATTATACATGGAGATGATATCCCCCCCCCTTATGTATTATACATGGAGATCATATCCCCCCTTATGTATTATAGATGGTGATCATATCCCCCCTTATGTATTATACATGGAGATCATATCCCCCCTTATGTATTATACATGGAGATCATATCCCCCCCTTATGTATTATACATGGAGATCATATCCCCCTTATGTATTATACATGGAGATCATATCCCCCCTTATGTATTATACATGGAGATTATATTCCCCTTATGTATTATACATAGAGATCATATCCCCCGTATGTATTATACATGGAGATCATATCCCCCCATAATCTTCTCTTCTCAAGAGAGATTAAATTCAGTTCCTCTAATTTTTCCTCATAGCTGAGTTCCTCCATATATATATTTATATATATTTATTTATTTATATCCTTTTTTATCTTTATAAAGTTCCATTACCTTGTTATGCAGGTCTTTTGACAGTTCTTTTCTGCTCCCCATGGCTCAGTATCTAGCCTGCTCAGTGCATCCACATGAGAGCTAACAAACTCATTGACTATTTATACACTGACAATAATTGCAATCTAAACAGTCACAGATGTGGGAAATTAACCTTTAATGGCCATTGTAACCTGTGTGTGTCACCTTGTGTGTGTCTGTACCAAGGCCAAATATTCCAGGGGGGGCGGAGACTTCTGATCCGGGGCGGAGGATCGGGGCCATTTGGGGGATTTCTGTTATCATTAGGATTTAAAAAGGAGCCAAACAACTATGTGATGATAAATGGCTTCATACCATCACTATTCTTCAATAAAAGACATTTTTTGGACATAATCAGCCAGATTTTCAATATCAATGCCAAAATATCACCATTTCTGCCAGGGGAGGCAAACTTTTGAGCTCATCAGGCATGGACTCCAATAGCCCTCTGACTGAAGGTATGCTGTGCTATCTGGCACCAAGCCGTCAGTAGCAGATCCTTTAGGTCCTGTAAGTTAGGATATGACCTTGTTTTTCCAGCACATCTCACAGATGCTCAACTGGACTTAGATTTGGAGAATTTGGAGGCCAAGTTAACACCTCAAACTCTTTGTTGTGTTCCTCAAACCATTCTTGAACCAGGAGATGCAAACTTTTGAGCGCAACTGTAGGTGAATCGAAATTCGTCCAGTTCCGACTGAACCAGCTGAATTTCTATACACCCATGGCTGGCTTTAGGCTAAGTTCACATCTATGCGTGTTGGAAATGCGCACAAAATTACGTGCTTTTCCGATAAGCACAGAAATGCGCTGCCATTTAGTAGATGTGCTGCGTGCCATTAGCTGGTAATGGCAACCCCACGCATCTGCAAATGCGCACACCAAACTGTTCACTATTTGAACAGAGTCAGGGACTTCTTTTCTGGGTTTCTAGTGCGTAGAGCTGTCCATTGAAAATGAATGGACTGCTCTACACGCGACGCGTGGGATCGCGAGATAAACACAAAACTTGACACTTCAGTGCTCAAAAATGGGGGAGGCCCCCATCATGTGCTGCAAAATTTTTGCCAGAATCAAGCAACCTAAACTGGAAAGTTAGGAAGCGCAGCCCTCCTTGAATCGGGGAAATCCAATGCTAAAAAAAATAAAAAGCGAGTGCGCAAACCCCTAGTGCATTATCTTTAACACTTTATTAGGTACAGAAAGTAAAAATTTACTCAAAAGCAGGGGCAGACTAAGAACTCATGGGGCCCCCGGACAATAGATGATCATGGGGCCTCTTTGTCCTCACTCACACTCAAACCACTCCCAAAACAAGCCTATGAAAGGTACCAGGGGCATCTCATGGGGCCCCCTACTTAACCCGGGCCCTCAGGCAGTGCCCGATTGTCCGAATGGTCAGTCCGCCCCTGCTCACAAGCCCAATAGGCTGACAGCATGTAAAACACACAAGGCACAAAACACAAACGTTCGCTATCCTACTCCAACTGGTGAATGGATGACTAAGCCAACTGATGTGTTTCGGGGAACTGGGCCCCTTCCTCAGAGCTATGGCTGGTGACCTACTCACCTCCACCTTCCTAAATAGTAATGTATTAGACCACATCTCCCACCAGTGATGCTGGACCAGGGGTGGGTGCAGGAGCGGACTGACAACTCATGGGGCCCCCAGGCAATAGGGGATCATGGGGCCCCTGTGTCCTTTCCCACACTCAAAGCATACCCAAAAAAAAAGCCTATAAAAGGTACCAGGGGCATTTCATGGGGCCCCCTACTGACCCCGGGCCCTCGGGCAGTGCCCAAGTGCTCAAATGGTCAGTCCGCCCCTGGGTGGGTGGAGGAGTAACGTGGCACCAGTCACTAAGGATTTAGGTTTTTTGTAGTGTGGGATGGTATCTATTTTTGGCCACACCTGTAGGCCTTACATTGGTCCAACCTGGAACAATGTAACTATATCCATCCCTGGAATTGCTCTTTAAACACACAAGGCACGAAACACAAACGTTCGCTATCCTACTCCAACTGGTGAATGGATGACTAAGCCAACTGACACATTTCGGGGACCTGGGCCCCTTCCTCAGAGCTATGGCTGGTGACCTACTCACCTCCACCTTCCTAAATAGCAATGTGTTAGGCCACACCTCCCAACAGTGATGCTGGACCAGGGGTGGGTGGAGGAGTAACGTGGTACCAGTCACTAAGGATTTAGGTTTTTTGCAGTGTGGGATGGCGCCTATTCTTGGTCACACCTGTAGGCCTTACGTTGGTCCAAGCTGGAACAATGTAACTATATCTGTACCTGGAATTCCTCTTTAAACACACAAGGCACGAAACACAAACGTCCGCTATCCTAATCCAACTGGTGAATGGATGACTAAGCCATCTGATGCGTTTCAGGGACCTGGGCCTCTTCCTCAGAGCTATGGCCAGTGACCTCACCTCCACCTTCCTAAATAGTAATGTATTAGACCACACCTTCCAACAGTGATGCTGGACCAGGGGTGGGTGGAGGAGTAACGTGGCACCAGTCACTAAGGGTTTTTTGTAGTGTGGGAAGGTGCCTATCCTTGGTCACACCTGTAGGCCTTACATTGGTCCAAGCTGGAACATTGTAACTATATCCATCCCTGGAATTCTTCTTTCAAGATACATTTTTTTGTATGGTCGATGAGTTCCATGTGATCTTAGATGCGCCACACGGTGAACGGCAAGTGATTGTGCGTACGTCAAGGTGCATGGCTTAGAGTTAAACCCCGTCTTTATTGCTCTTTCAGATCATGATTCGGAGGACAGTCGTTCAACGGCGGAAGATCTGGAGAGCAGGAAGTCATTCCAAGACCAAAGGAGCCATTTATCTCACGCCAGCCCCTCACACCCTGACCGAGGTACGTGCCGGCCCCATCCACTATATCTCTCTAATGTTCCGTCTTCACACTCTGCAAGTGTTCATCTCCCACTTGTCTAATAAATGGGCAGTTTGTGCTCTACCTCCCGATCCTATAAAGCGTGCGCATTACCCCATCTTCCCGGTTAATGTCCGCATTAATAATACATCTTTGGCACTTCTTATTCACAATCGATGGAAGGAGATTTAAATCAGCAGTAAAAAGCCTTGTCCCCTCCAGCTTCCACCCGATAAATATTTAAAGAACCAATTCACTTGTTTAAAGAATGTCCTTCTCCGGAATACGGCGCACTTTCTGCTGATTCCCTTCTCTTTCTACAAGGAGGAAAAAAAAAGAAAAGTAAATTGTGTTCAAATTTGCATATTCGCTCGTTTTCCTGAATGACGGGTGTTTAACCTTCACTATACTATTTTTTTTTTGTGAGTAAGTCGTTGCTGTTTGATGTAATACGAAATATTTACTGTAATGGCGAGTTTAAATCTTACAAGGAAACAATAAATAAAACAAGTAGCACCCAAAGACATGCTGGGAGGTTCATTGGGCCCTAGTATGTATATCTATGAATGTAGGTTAGGGGCCTTAGATTGTACGCCCCTTGAGGGTTAGGGACTGATGTATTGTTCCCTCCCGCCGTACTTTGCACTTTGCCTTCCTGCCCCCCCCCTTCCCCCCATACTGTCCCCCTCCCGATCCCAGTATTGTTTCTCCTGACTCCCCCTGTACTTTTCACTTTGCCCTCCTGTCCCCCCCCCCCCCCCATACTGTCCCCTCCCGATCCAGTATTGTTTCTCCTGACTCCCCCTGTACTTTTCACTTTGCCCTCCTGCCCCCCCCCATACTGTCCCCTCCCGATCCCAGTATTGTTTCTCCTGACTACCCCTGTACTTTGCCATCCTGACCCCCCCCCATACTGTCCCCTCCCGATCCCAGTATTGTTTCCCCTGACTCCCCCTGTACTTTTCACTTTGCCCTCCTGCTCCCCCCCCATACTGTGCCCTCCTGATCCCAGTATTGTTCTCTTCTGACTCCCCCATACTTTGCCCTCCTGTACTGTGCCCTCCTGATCCCAATATTGTTCTCATCTGACTCCTTCCCATACTTTGCCCTCCTGCCTGCCCCCCCCCCATACTGTGCCCTCCTGATCCCAGTATTGTTCTCTTCTGACTCCCCCATACTTTGCCCTCCTGCCTGCCCCCCCCCCCCCATACTGTGCCCTCCTGATCCAAGTATTTTTCTCATCTGACTCCCCCCGTACTTTGCTCTTTGTCTTAATGCCCCCCCATACTGTGCCCTCCTGATCCCAGTATTTTTCTCATCTGTCTCCCCCCGTACTTTACCCTCCTGCCCCCCCCCCACCCATACTGTGCCCTCCTGATCCCAGTATTGTTCTCTCCTGACTCCCCCTGTACTTTGCTCTTTTCCCTCCTGCCCCCTCTCCCGTATCCCAGTATTGTGCACTCCTGAACCCAGTATTGTTCTCTCCAGACTCCCCCCATGCTTTGCACCTTGCCTTCCTGCCCCCCCAGTACTGTGCCCTCCTGATCCCAGTATTGTCCTTGACTCCACCTGTATTGCCTGTATTGTGCCAATCCTACCCCCCCCCCTGTACTGTGCCCTCCTGATCCCAGTATTGATCCCTCTTGACTCCCCTCCTTGTACTTTGCACCTTGCCCTCCTTCCCCCCTCCCCCGTAGTGTGCCCTTTGTGTTGATTATCCTTTGATTTATGGCATGTTTTCTTAGTGTTTGAAATCAATTTTATTGAAAAATAAATATATGTTTATTCCTATCAACTATTTATACTTTAATTCTTGCGAGTACATACATTGGGGCAGGCTGGTAGGGGCCCCAGTGCAATAAGATGGCCCTTTATATAAGTACCTATAATTAATAAATTAGCCTGGAAGGAATTGCCATCATTGGATGGTGTGCTAGCAGACGGGGAAAGGTCTTCTCCATGGCTGGAACTAGGGCTGCCCCCCGAGGTTCTTCTAAGCTATAGTAAACATAGGTGCAGCGCTAAGAACTCAATGATTAGAATATGAAATAAACAGCTAAATAGTTCATATAAAATAAAAAAAATCCAATAAATTAAACAGTTCATAAAGTGACTCTTGTGCTCCTGTGTTAGTATGGACCGTGCTGTGATATGGTAGATAATACGCACTCACCGGACGTGCATATAAATTGCGCTTTTATGTCAATAATCCAGTTGTCATCAGAAAGGGAACAGGAACTAGTAGTCTTACCCTCTAGGAGGTAGTTGGCCATCAGACAGGATCCGTATGGGTTTAAAGGTGATCCACGTCCGCCAGAGTACCCCGTCCGGATTGTAAAGATGGTTGCTGGAGCGCCACGTTGCTCCGGCGGCATGACGTCACGGTGTGATGTGGCTCCTCCTGACGCGTATCGTGCTCCAACACGTCTTCAGAGGGGTGTCGCCAATCCTTGGAGCACAATATGCGTCAGGAGGAGCCACATCACGCCGTGACGTCACGCCGCCAGAGCAAAGTGGAGCTCCGGCAGCCATCTTTACAATCCGGACGGGGTACTCTGGCGGACGTGGATCACCTTTAAACCCATACGGATCCTGTCTGGCTGCCAACTACCTCCTAGAGGGAAGGCTACTAGTTCCTGTTCCCTTTCTGATGACAACTGGATTATTGACATAAAGGAGCAATTTATATGTGCGTCCGGTGAGTGCGTATTATCTACTATATCACAGCACGGTCACTGGTCCATACTAACACAGGAGCACAGGAGTCACTTTATGAACTGTTTAATTTATTGGATTTTTTAATTTTATTTTATATGAACTATTTAGCTGTTTATTTCATATTCTAATCATTGAGTTCTTAGCGCCGCACCTATGTTTTAAATTTTATCCTGGTATTTTTTTTTGGTTTTACCATTGTGCATTAGCTGCTTTATTTTAGCACGCTCACGAGTTCCTTTTATCTATATCCTGTCTTCTAAGTTATGCTAGGCACCTTGGATAGGGTCCCTCTCCTACACATTAGATACCTTTACCTGTGCCGTATCCATCAATGCTCGGGGCAGGCGAAGGCCGCTTTCAGGGTAACCTCAATCCCAAGGCAGACCTCCAACTGTAGAAGAATTGCAGATAGCAACGATACCAGTCTTTCCCTATCTACCCTAGTCCCTAAGTCAGGCTTTTGGCTGGATAGACAAGAGTTCATCCATGGAAAGTCCTTTAAGGTGGTACTCCAGCATATTGTTGGCTTCAGGGCGCACTGCAGGTCTCAGCAATCCCCCACATTGCGAGAGGCTCCTGGACACAGGCAAGTAGCGGTGTGCTGGAATCAGGACAGGACCGCCGATGCCTAACACTGGTGATAGCGCTGGACCTCCTCGACCCTGAAGTGGGAACTCTGATGGGAACCCTGATTTAAGTGGTGACTGTAATGGAGACCCTAATGTAAGGATGGAATCTGATGTAAGGGGAGACTCTGATAGGGACCCTGATGTAGGGGAGAACTGTGATGGGGATCCTGATATAAAAGGGGGACTCTGCTGGGGACCTTGATGTAAGAGGGGGCTCTGATGGGGACCCTGATATAAGGGGGGACTCTGATGGGGACCCTAATGTAAGGTGGGATTCTGATATAAGGGAGGACTCTGATGGGGACCCTAATGTAAGGTGGGGTTCTGATATAAAAGGGACCCTGATGGGGATCCTAATGTAAGGTGGGACTCTAATGAGGATGCTGATATAAGGGGGGACTCTAATGAAGACCCTATTGTGTAGGATGGAACTATGATGGGGACCCTGATAAAGTGGGGGAGTTTGATGGGGACCCTAATGTAAGGGGAGACTCTGATGGTGACCCTAATGTTGGAGCCCTGATTTACGTGGGGACTGTAGTGGAGATCCTAATGTAAGGTGGGACTCTAGTGGGGATGCTGATATAAGGGGGACTCTGAGGACCCTAATGAGGATGGAATTATGATGGGGGATATAAGGGTGTAGACTCTGATGAGGATCCTAATGTAAGGTGGGACTCTAATGGGGTTCCTGATGAAAGGGGGGACTCTAATGAGGACCCTGATATAAGGAGAGACTTCAGTGGGGAACCTCATGTAAAGGAGACTCAGATGGGAACCCTAATGTAAGGGGGGACTCTGATGAGGACCCTAAGTGTGGATTCCCACATCGTGCAATGCGAATTGAAGCTCCGTATTCACAGTGGGTCGTTGTTCAGCGATTCAGGTCAGATTTAGATCAGGATCAGGTCAGGATTAGATCAGGATCAGGTCAGGTTTAGATCAGGATCAGGTCACTCAGATCAGGAACCCTAGATCAGGTCAGGTCAGGGACTTAGATCAGGATCAGGTGTGGATTCACACATCAGGTCAGGGAATTGAAGGTCACGATTAGCTCAAGGATCAGGTCAGGTTTAGATCAGGTCAGGTCAGGATTAGATCAGGATCAGGTCAGGTTTAGATCAGGATCGGGTCAGGATTAGATCAGGATCAGGTCAGGGTTTCAGGTCAGGTTTTAAATCAGGTTTTCAGGTCAGGTTTAGATCAGATCAGGATCATCAGGTCAGGATTAGATCAGATCAGGTCAGATTAGATCAGGATACAGGTCAGGTTTAGATCAGGATCAGGTCAGGATTAGATCAGGATCAGGATCAGATTAGATAGATCAGGATCAGGTTTAGATCAGGATCAGATCAGTCAGATTAGATCAGGATCAGGTCAGGATTAGATCAGGATCAGGTCAGGATTAGATCAGGATCAGGTTTAGATCAGGATCAGGTCAGGTTTAGATCAGGATCAGGTCAGGTTTAGATCAGGATCAGGTCAGGATTAGATCATCGGGTCAGATTAGATCAGGTCAGGTTTAGATCAGGATCAGGTCAGGATTAGATCAGGAGGTCAGGATTTAGATCAGGGATCAGGTCAGGTTTAGATCAGATCAGGTCAGGTTTAGATCAGGATCAGGTCAGGTTTAGA